TCCCACTAGCCACAGTTCGCCACTGCAGGCCAATGGGAGCTGCTGGAAGCGACGCGGGCTGAGGGACTTACTGGCCGCCGTTTCCAGCAGCTCCCATTGGCCTGCAGTGGCGAACCGCGGTCAGTGGGAGCCGCGATCGGCCAGACCTGCGGATGGGGCAGGTAAACAAACCGGCCCGGCCTGCCAGGGGCTTTCCCTACACAAGCGGTGACCCCAGTTTGAGAAACACTGCACTATACTAAGATAATATTTCCATAAAACTAAGTGTAAATACAAACACTGAAGTAAGTTAATGACAAGGGACTCTGGGAGCCACTTTCAATTTTGAGAGTAATTTACAGCCTTATACTTGGAGGTCTACGCACACTACTTTGATATACATACAGTGGTGCTGGAACCCTTTTAATAGTGGGGGTGCTGAAATCTAGCTCCCTTACTCCTTCCGCGACCCCCCCAGTAGGGGCCAGGAGCAGTGCCATGTCTCGGGGGGGGGGGGGGGAGGGGGGGAGGAAGAACCCAAAAACAGGGGTAAGGGGGAAAGGCTGGGGGTGGGCACAGGGCCAGGAGCAGAGCCCCAGGCACAGGCCCGCAGCCAGGACCCTGCATGCGGGGTCAGGAGTGGAGCCCCATGAGTGGGGCCAGCGACCAGGACCCCGGGAGGAGGGGGCTGGGTGCGGGGCCCCGGACCCAGGGCCAATGAGCAGGGCCAGAGCCGCAGGCGCGGGGCCCTGGGTATAGGGTCAGCAGCCGGGAAGTGGGCAGGCAGCCAGGACTGGAGCCCGGGGTACAGGGCCTGCGGCCAGGACCTGAACCCCGGGCTGGGAAGCAGAGTCCTGGGCTTGGGGCCACAGGCTGGGAGCAGGGCCCCGGCGCGGAGCCCTGGGCACGGGGCCAGCAGCCAGGGAACAGGGCCGGCGGCCGGGACCCAAGCCCCGGGCTGGGGAGTGGAGGTCTAGGTGAGGGGCCAGCGGCTCTGCATAAAACCTAGGGGTGCTACAGCACTCCCTGCACCCATAGTTCCCACGCCTATGTATACCTATTAAAAATAAGGTTTATTTGTCTACAATACTAGGTAACTAGCTAATCTTTAACAGCTGAAGAATCACATCCTTATCCAGTGACTTTGCAGTAAGACATAACACAGTATTGGGTTTTGTAGTATCATGAATAATGCAACCCTTGATAAGTCATCCAGTGGGTAACAAGTCAGAAGATTTAGCCTACTTGTCACCAGTGCTCAAGGTTCACACAAGGTTGACGTGGGCAAGAGGGAAATGCTCAAAGTCTGGTAGACATTCCAAATGCATAGTTTTAACCCTCAAAAAAGCTAAAGCAGACACATACTTTTTCCCCTGCCCAGGATATGAAAAAAATCCATACCCAACTGACATAGCTACACCAACCTAACCCCCAGGGTATATGCAGCTACATAGATAGAAAATTGCTTCCGTCAACCTAGCTACCATCGTTTTAGGGCGTGATGTTCCTACAGTGACAGAAAAACCCCTTCCATTGCTGTTGGTGAGTCTACACACCATGGGGCTATGCCGGCATAGCTAGGGTGCTAAAGCTATGCCAGTATTGTCCCCATAGCGTATGCATACCCACAGACTTCAGAGTTAACACCCCACTGATATAAACTGAGGTAGTTCACACCTCTTGGAGCAAACAAGTGTGTCCTCTTCCTTACACTAACTCATGTGCAGGCAGGCAGCATTCAGGAAGGCTGGCCAGAGGATGTGGACTCTCAGCATGTCATGGAGCCCCGTTGTATTCCTGTGTACGGATACCCAGTTGTCCCACTGCTTTGTGAATCCACTCAACATTCACCCCATGTATTTTGGGGCATAAGCAATGTGGAAGCTACCACAGCCTGAGGATGGAGTACTGCTCAAAGAGCAGGAGTGGGTATACACACATGTGGATTCTATCAACCCCCAGACCTGAAGGAATTCTATGATGCACAGCCCAGCTACTCAGGATGGGATTTGAGCTTCAGGCAGTTCATGACTCTTCCTGAATCTCCACAGGCAACCTGCAACAGAAGTGCTACAGTTTTTGGCATTTTGCTTATTCTGCCTGGGATCCAGTAATAGCAAATACTAGACACGCAGACACTACAAAATGGCCACCAGGTCTTTGTCAACACTAGCAAAAACAAGACATGTAATTCACTACCAGTTCAACTGGTGAATTCAACTGGTGATAAGGAAAGTAGAAACTGTACAGTAGACAAAGTTTAGGCAAGCTTAAGCATTTTTTATCATGTCTAAAACTCAAGCCGTACCATCAGCCCAGCTGCTTGGGCCAGGAAATTCTCATTGGTGGCAGTTTAGACACAACTGTGCAGGGTACAGAAGAGCCTTATGCAGCTCAAGAGCCGTAAATTAAGAATAAACTGATTAACTCAACAATTGCTGAGTTAGGCACTTACTGATCATGCCTGGTATCAGGTATGTTTCTGTCCATTTGCAGTTTGTCACTTTCTACTTGATTGAACTTATTACGAGCGTATGGGTCCTGACCAGATCGGACCATAGTAACACCAACATAACTGTCTTGATCAAAATCTTGCCATCGAACTTTTCCTGAAAAGGAAAAACCCAAAGTTACATATTTGCATCATAGATCTGAAGCATTAAGCTCTAGTTTTCAAATGTCTGAAATCAAGTTTTCGCTTTTACGAGATCAAAGTGCTTTAAAATAAATGAAGCCTTAACACAAAGTTATTTGCTCTGAGTCACACAATTGACTAGTGCAAAGTTTCAGTAGGAACTGAAATAATAGTATCCTGACTCCTAGTCCTGCTGCTACTGTAATCACTAGACCACGCTGCTTTCCTCAGTTACAGATTTTAACCTCGGGAACCATATGCTCCACCTTCAAAGGACATTTCCACATTAGTAGCTGATGATTCAAGCACAGATTTACACCCCAAGAAAGACACTTAAATTTTTCCAGTTTAGATTTCAATTAACTTCACTAAACCAAACCAAACCACTATGGTTTAATTTAGCCAGTCTCATCTTTAAAAGTAATGATTTGTATCTCCATGCTCTAAAGGTCTGTTCTTCATAAACTTGGTTACAAGTAAATTTTATAAGTTATATTGTAAGACACACACACGCACGCGCTACCAATAGTTAGGACACTTGACCACTTTGATATGAAATACATGAACTAGTTGGAACACTTTGTAGCTTTTAGGTAATACTGTAGTTGGCATGCTTATGGGGATGTATACTTTATCCAAAGCCTGCTTCTTCTAACACTATAGTACGCAATTAAGGTAAAACAATGTTTTCTTCTAAGAGGATGGACCCTTTCATAAAATTACTGATCTTGTGATATACCCCAGAAGCTTGAAAGTTTGCATCTAGAAAAAATGATAAACTCTGTTCTTAACTCTTCATTTTAAATAAATTATTCCTTCTTATATGGCTATTGACAGCCAACCTATTGTAACTGTACAGGATTTACGCTTTATGACTCAAAACCACTTGAGCACAAATAGTGTTACCCCTAACAACTAAATGCAATTTTAATGCAGAAGTGTTCTTCAAGGTATCATACTGAAGTTGCTGTGTAGCAACAAATGATGACACAAAGCAACACTCTTTTGGGGGTTAGTGTGTTTGACAACTAACGTGTTCACAAGGAGAAGTTATGCTTCACTGAGAGTTTTTCAAAAGCAACACGGGGAACTGACATTTCAGACGTATTTTTGGGCAAGTCCAGTAAGTGGCAGATTAGCAGAGAGAGAGTCAGTCTCTTGGAACACCCCATGGATGCTAACAAAAGTTTTTAGGCAAGTAAAGCGTATACTTTAGGATACTTTACATGTAACCTGCTGCTCTGCTTCAAGGATGTACTATTATAACAGGCATTCATTAGGGCAGCCAGAGAGTGGTCAGACATTTCAAATACACCTTTACTGTTGCCAATTTGCAGTGTGCGCAAAGTGAGTTAGAGCTGTCTGTTACACAACTGATTGAAGATATAGCCAGCTAGAATTCCATTTGGAATTTCTGCTGGAAAATAAGACTGATACCAAATTATTGTGTGACACAAAAATCCATTAAGAATGGAAACTGTTTACTGAAAAGAAAAATCATTGAGTAGATTTAAGATTCTCTAGGGTTTGAGCCATCTGAGGAGCTGATGAAGTTAGCTCTGACCAAGCCTGTGGTGGTGTTTGGAGTTCAAATACTGACAGCTTACCTGAACAGCAAGTACTAGTGAAAAGCAGAGGAACCACGGAAGTAAATATTTTAAGAGTCTAGTCATAGAGCAAGAACATAGATGCCTATATTTTGGATTACAGGTTTAAGAGCTATTCAATTAGTTCAGATTGAACACTTCCTACAAATGAATTTACCTCCCAAAAGAGGCTGAAGAAAACATGCAGAAAAGCCAGAACCAGAGAGACCAAAATGTAACAGACCGAAAAACATTTATTTAGCAACCTGTGAAGAGAGCCAGAGGAGAGACTACAGCACTATGGGGAGACAGACAGATTTTCAGCTTCCAATTAGTGAAAATGCAGCAGAGGGAACACTTTGTAGTTGTCAAAGCCCAACCTTAAAAGTGGTGAAAAGAAACTTCTATGAGTCTTCCAAAATTTCTCTCAGGACATTTTCAAGGGTCTACCCTTTGAAGGCAGTTCTACACTTGAGAATTCTGACATTGCAAACACTTACGACATCTTCACACAACAGTTTGCAATAATGCACAATTGCGCCTACTTGAAACAAGGCTTATCACTTCTCCTGCACCCAGTGACTCGGCACTTTTAAAGAGATAGCATATGCCACTAGTTCTAATGCTGCAGCTACACCATGGTAACTGGTCTTCCTAGCAGCGTTCCACAATATCCCTGCAAGCTCTCCGGCAACCAATATGTTCAATATCACTGTGAGAGATATGGCAAACAGGTATACCTCTACACCTCTGTATTTAACATTAGGAATGTTATCTGTATATTTGAGTGAGCCCTTGAAAGCGTGAAAAACGTCAGAGACTATTATATTGAGAGGCCAGGCGATATGGGCATACATGATACAAAGGTCTGTGAACGTTCTAAGTATTTGTGTGTTCCTGGCTCACTGGGTGATTTCCCTGTGGAATCACTATTGATGATCAATGCAAAATCCCAAGGCTGGTTATGCAGATACCCAGCGTTTGAAGCGTGACCACCTGGGGAAAGGGGCAGTGACTGGTTTTACATGTTTCAGGAGGCTTGAAAACAAAAACAGGGGTTTTGGATATAAAGGCAGAGTTTGAACTGACAGAGCAGGCTTCTTGGGCTACAAACGGACATGACCTGATAACCAAGAGAGCCAAAGCCTGACTGAAAGATCTTGGAATTTATCAGGGATTCCAATTCCCATAAGAATTGGGTGGGGGGCTTCTGGTGAACTTAGGCAATTAATCCTTTTATTGTTTTAAATGTTTTCTCCAAGGCTTTTTATCCTAAAATAAATGTGCTCTGCTCTGAAAGAGTTGTTTAACTACTTGGAACTGCTGGCATACACTGGTCAAAGCCCTGGAAGTGAAAGCAACACGCAGGTGCTGGACTCAGACTTGTGGAGATAAACAAGGAGGCTGAAAATCTAAACCCCCTGGGTTAAGAGGGAGAGGGATGTGTGTCCCTGGCTCAGAGAATGGTGATGGCTAGAGGCCTGAGAGGGGATCCCTTGAGCAGACCACAGAGGAAGTCAAAGGTTTAGTTAGCCCAAAACTGTGACAATCACCTATACTCCTGATTATTTATACTGAACTACAGTAACTTCTATTATTTGATGCATATTTGTTTTCCATTTTATAAAGTGCAATGCATTCAATCCCAAGGCTTTTCTGGTTTCAAAAATAAAGGTTATTTTAATGTAATACTGACATTTAATTTTACAAAATACATACTACTGTATACATTAAAAATGTTAATGCGTATGATTCACTTTTTAAATTGTTACAGCACCTCTTCAATAGTGAAATGGTATTCCCACCAACCCCTGCTTCAGGGACTTGCGCTGACAACTGTGGAATGCGTACCCACAATGCTCTGGTATGGCAGCAGTTGGAGGGAGCAATGCAAGTGTTCTTAGACAGGTTTACATCAGCTAGAATTACTCATGTGGCATTGCATGGTTACAAGTTACAACAGTTCAAATAATTTACAGTAGTTCATAACTGCGCAGAGGGAAATTGAAACGCTGCTCAGCAAAAATAAGGCTATTGTCTTTGAAGCTGCAAAGAGGGTAGTGTTTGACAATTTACTAATAATTAAGTTTTAAGATAAAAGGCTCTATTAATCAGCATTTTCCAGCAATTGAACATGTATTTTTATATTTTATCTGCTTCGTTTCCCAGTATACAAGCACACACTGCAGAACTCATTTTTCAGAGCTACTGGTGGCTTGGAGAGCTGGATCTGTTTCCCACTGTCAAATTGCATTAAAAGACAGGTACAAATACTTCGCTTATATTTTACCTTATGCAATAGTGATAGAACATGTTTCCTAAACTTTGTATTGTATATGCTGTGGAGTGTAGTTTTGATTTAGATTAGAAGACACATTGTTAAACTAAAAATAAAATTTTCCCCCAAAATTGTGGTTCTGATTCATATATGATATCAGATTAAGTTTCAGGATTGGCAGTTAGTACCCAACAAGACTGAAGAAAAAAAATAGAACCATATTCCTAATCACTGACAATGTCCCAGAGAGCAGTGGAGATTTGCACTGCTTTAGGCATTAGTGATGCAGTCAGCTGTAGCTCCATCCCCCAGCTGCAGAGCAGCAGGCTCCGGCTTTGGGTCTGGACTCACCCCCGCCACATCGACCCTGGCCCCCGCTGCCTCTTCCAGTCCCCATCCGTGCAGCAGGACCCTATGCTTCTGCCCTGACTCCTCATCGCCCTTGACCCCTTCTGCCTCCCATCTATCCCCCATCATCCCATGGCCCCCTACTCAACTCCCCATCCAAAGCTTAATTTGTCCGCCAGCTTGTTGGGGCTGAGTAGGTCTGCTTGAAAAGGGACATTAACAAATATACAAATATCACTTTTCACAGCAGAAGACTTACTTGCTAGCAAAAAAAAAAAAAAAAAAACGAACAACCAAAAAAGAACAAAACAATAGCAAAGACACCTTATTTGTTGTTTCTTATTCTGTTCAGGCCAGTTAAGAATAGAGACAACTGTACATGAATTTTTAATTACCAAGTCTGCAAAAAAAACCCTACATAAATAAATTACAATGATTTGGACATGCATATGTGAATATTTAATTTGTTTTTTCTAAAGTTAAGTATTTTAGGAAAAATTGTCA